TACTAATGCCGATTTCTTAGTTTTGACAAATGCACCACAATAATGTAAAATATTAATGATGGAGGAAACTCCATAAAGCATATATGAGAACTCTATAATATCTTTTGTTTGTTAAATCTAAAATTATTCCAAAGTAAAATTTATTAACACAAATTGAAGCCCTAGGACTCTACAATCCTACCCTTTAATCAAGTCAATGTTTTTATTTTCCATCTTCCTGTGTTTTTCTCTAATTACTTTATGTATTTATTTTTATATATGTAAAAAAAGAAACCAAATAAACATCATAATTAACTGTTTAACTTAACATTGTAGGTGCTTATGTTTCTTATTTTTTTCCTCTCTTCCTGGTCCTTCTAACACTATCATGGAACCAGTGTGGAGGGCAAGGTGTGTATCTTATACACCTCCAGCATGGCCAGGCCCCCAGATACAAATGTACAAATACGTATATATAGACAACAAATATCTGTCCTTAGTGAATTCTACAAAAAAGGGGGTCACGACATTACATATCCGTGCAACCTCTTTCCTTACTTCAGAATATGAGCATCCTTATAATTCAACGGATGTGGATCTAACTCAAAATAATAGGTGTGCAGCCAATTTATTCAAACATTTCCCTGTTGGTGTACTTGTGATTTTATGCTGAAATATATTCTCATTATACCTATGCCATGTGCAAATGACTCAACTTCTGCAGACCAGACAAGTGGAACTGAGTAAATGTGTGTGCATGTGTATGCACAAGGGTGCACACACAATATATGTGTATATTATATTGTGCATGCAATGTAATACTGTGTACTATATTGTATATGCAGCCTGTGCACACACAATATAATACACAGCAATGCATGAAATGCTCTGTCCCCTACATCCTCACCAGGAATGGATATTATTGATAGAAGGTTTTTTCAATGTGATGGGCAAAAATTGATATAATTGCTTACTTTCATAGGCTTTTCCAGACCTCCACATAAGGGTTGGTATTTTAAAAAATATGTTTATCAATCATTTGCATTTATCCCTCTGTGAATTATCTATGAATATGCTTTACCCATTTTTTCTGTAAGTTATTTCACTTTTATTATAAGTTTGTAAAAGTTCTTGGTAAGGATAGTTCAACATATGCAAATCCATAAATGTAATTCAACACATAAATAAAAGTAAGAACAAAGACCATATGATTCTCTCAATAGATGCAGAGAAAGCATCTGACAAAATCCAGCACACTTTTATGATAAAAATTCTTAACAGAATAGGCATAGATGGGGCACACCTTAAAATTATTAAAGCCATATACAATAAACACACAGCCAATATCATACTGAACAGGGAAAAATTTTAAACATTTCTGCTTAGAACTATAACCAGATAAAAGGTTACCCACTATCTCCACTTTGATTCAACATAGTGCTGGAAGTCCTTGCCAGAGCAATCAAACAACAGAGGAGAATTAAGGGTGTCCAAATTGGGGCAGAAGAGGTCAAACTCTCACTATTGCTAACAATATGATATTATATCTAGAAAATCCCAAGAATTCAACCAAGAGACTCCTGAAATTGATAAATGAATTTGGTAAAATCTCAGGATACAAAATCAACAGTATCCTGCACACAAATCAGTGGCATTCATATATGCCAATAACAGTCAAGTCGAAAATCAAATCAAAGATGCAACACCTTTCACAACAGCATCAAAGAAATCGAAATATTTAGGAATATAATTTAATTAAGGAGGTGAGAGACCTATATAGGAAGAATTCCAAAGCACTGAGAAAAGAAATTGTAGGAGTTGTAAACACATGGAAAACCCTACCATGCTCATGGATTGGCAGAATCAATATTGTTAAAATGTTCATATTACCTAAAGTGATCTACAGAATTAATGCAATCCCTATCAAAATACCATTATCATTCTTTACAGATCTAGAAAAAATAATTCTATGCTTCATATGAAACCAGAGACGACTTCTTATAGCCAAAGCAATCTTAAGCAAAAAGAACAAATTGGTAGGCATCAATCTGCCAGACTTCAAGCTTTACTACAAGGCTATAGTAACCAAAACAGCATTTAACTGGCACAAGAACAGAGATATAGACCTTTGGAACAGGACTGAGAACCCAGATATAAACCATCCTCATATTGCCATCTAATCTTCGACAAAGCAGACAAAAATATACATTGGGGAAAAGAATCATCTGATCTGTTCAATAAATGGTCCTGGGAAAACTGGATAACCACATGCAGAATATTGAAACGGGATCCCCACTTCTCATCTTTCACAAAAATCAACTCACAATGAATAATAGACTTAAACCTAAGGTGTGAAACCTTAAGAATTCTAAGAGAAAATGTTGGGAAAACTCTTATAGAGATTGGCCTAGACAAAGAATTTATTAAGAAGTGTTCCAAAGCAATCACAACAGCACAAAAATAAATAAATGGAGCTTGATCAAATTAAAAAGCTTCTGCACAGCTAAGGAAACTGTCATTAGAGTGAATAGACAACCTACAGAATGGAAGAAAATATTTGCATGCTACACATCCGATAAAGGGCTAATAACAAGAATCTATATAGAGCTTAAGTAAATTAACAAGAAAAAATCATCCAACCACATCAAAAAGTGAGCAAACGACATGAACAAAAACTTTTCAAAAAAAGACAGAATAATGGTCAGCAAACATATAGAAAAGTGTTCAACATCTCTAACCATTAGGGAAATGCAAATCAAAACCACAATGAGATATCACATTTTCCAGTGAGAATGGCCTTTATCAAAAAGTCCCAAAACAATAAATTCTGGCATGGATGTGGAGAGATAGGAACACTCATATACAGCTGATGGGACTGCAAATTAGTACAACCCCTGTGGAAAGTAATTTGTCCATAGTAATTAGCTCAAAGAGATAAAATTAGAAACACCATTAGAGCTAGCAATCTGCACTCGAATGTTTATGGCAGCACAATTCACAATTGCAAAGATGTGGAAACAACTCAAGAGCCCATCAATACATGGGTGGATTAATAAAATGTGGTATATGTGTACCATAGGGTTCTACTCAGCCACAAAAAATAATGGTGATCTAGCACCTCTTGTATTATCCTGGATAGAGCTTGAGCTCATCCTTCAAAGTGAAGTATCACAAGAATGGAAAAACAAGCACCACATGTACTCACCATCAAATTGGTACTAACTGCTCAACACTAAGGTGCACACATGGCAGTAATATTCACTGGGTGCTGGTCAGGTGGGACGGGGGTGGAGGGGTGGGGAAATTCATAACTAATGGAAGCGGAGGGCACTGTATGGGGAAGGGCACGCTTGTAGCCCTGGCTTGGGCGAGGCAAAGGCATTACATGTAACCAAAATGTTTGTACCCCTATAATATTCTGAAATTTAAAAATTAAAATATTTATTGTCAATTTTAAAAAGTTCTTGGTATAATATGTTGTCCATATTAACCCTTATTATAGTTTGAGTAACATTTTTCCCAGTTAAACTTTGCCTTAGCCTTTGTTTGGACATACAGTTTGTAAATTAAAAAGAAAAAGAAGCAGCAGCAGCTGTAGCCAAGCGTGTGTAAGTCTTATCAAATGAGCTGGACTTGGAAGGAAGAATTACGAAACAGATCTTTCCCTGACACAGTGCAAGTCAACTGTTTCTCCCTCCTCGGTTCCAGAGGGCCCCTTGGGCACCCCCAGGACCGATGTCACGGTCATCGTCAGGCGTCGTTCCCTATCTGGCGGTCAGATGTTGAGGGTCCAGCCCCTTCTAAGCCCAAATCCCTAACTCTTGTCTGTGGCGGGGCTCCCCCGACGTGCGGCTCCTGGACGGACCCCAGGCCCTCAGGAAGGGGTGAGGCCTGACTCTCCTCCTCTTGCCCAGCCCTGGCAGCTCAGGTCTCCAAGGTGGCCCGGCCAGGGTCCAGTAGAGAGCAATGACTTGTCCCATTGGGCCATTTCAGTCAGACCTTGGTACCCCTGGGTGGCAGATGCCACACTTGGACTCTTCCTCTTTCTTAATGTGGCAAAATCTACATAACCTAAAATCAACCATCGAGCGCGCAGCTGACGGACTGCAGTACACGCACATTCCGTGCAGCGGTCACCACCGCTGCCTCCCGAACTTTGTCGTCTCCCAAACTGAAACTACACATCCACTAAAATCAGCTCTCCTGCCCTCGCCCTGGTGACCCACATCCACTTCCTGTCTCTATGAGCTGAGGGACTCTCTCCTCCTGAGCTCCTGGGGGTGCTCAGAAGACGGCCCCTGTGTCCCCGTGGCCCGGCGCAGACGGACACTTCCTGTCCCAGGCCCTGCTGCTGGCAAGGCCCACGATGCCTCCACGGTGCAGGCCTGAGATGGCCGCCTGCCCCAGGACACCAGCTGCTCGGTGCCTCCCGCTCTGCCCTCACGGCCCCTCCAGGCAGCCTCTGCCACTGAAGTCTCCCTAAGCCGGAGCCAGGTCCCAGCTCCAGGGCACACGTGGCTGAGTCCCCGAGAAGTGAGCACAGCAGGTGCTCGGTGGCCCTTGCAAGCTTTTAAAATTATCAAAACATCACTATGTGCCCCATAAATGTGCATAATTATTATATTTCAATTAAAAACCATAAAATAAATAAAAATTTTAAAATGAAGAAAAAAGAACTTTATATAGGCATACCTGAGATACATAGCAAGTTTGGGTGCAGACTACCACAATAACGCGAGTCACGTGAAAAGAAATAATTCCAAAATTCTCTCTTGCAGCTATCTTTAACTTCACGTGAGAGTGACATATATTGTGTGTGCACACATGCACGTGCGTGTGTTTGCGTGTGAGCACGCCCCTCTGTCTGCCATCTGTCCCCGGCCTGTGGCCGGCAATCGCTGCTGCCGACGCGAGCAGACCTCTGTGTCGCAGAGCCGCCGTGAGCTGGCCTGGCCCGCCCGTGCTCACCGCCGCCTCACCTCTTCAGTTTCACTAACACACAAGACAGCTCTTACGAAGTCTAGTCATACTTTCTATATTTCTACGATCATACCCCAGGTGGCCGGATTGCATGCGTGTTCCCCGGGGGAAGCACGCTCAGGGTTTATTTGCATATATCAAGCATCACAAAAGCAAAAGGAAAAACTGGCAGGGAGACAGAATTTGTGAACAGCTGAGGAATAGTTGCTTTGCTCTCTCTTCAGCCGAGAGCTCTCTCCAGACATGGCCGTGGAACAGGGAGACACCGCCGTGCCCTCAGCCCTCCGCGCACGCTCTGGGCTCCGTCCGATCCCCTCAGTCCTCACAGCACCTGGACTTGGGCGCTGTCTCCACTGTCAGTTTGGAGCGGCGCACACGTCCTGGCACCCGCAGAGTCTTTTGGAGCAGCCACCGCTTCTGCCCTTTTGGGGCGCACGAGTGCTGCTCTGCTCCAGCGTTGCTCGCACGCGCAGACGGCTCCCACACAAGAGCAAACGGCTGTGACAGTTGCGTCCAGCTGGTGCCGGCAGGCGCTCTGGGAAGACAGCAGAGGTAGGAAGAATGAGGTGGGGCCAAGATTCCCTGGCCGCTTTTGTACTAAGAGCCTGGGGGGGGGCCTTCCCCAGGGACAGAGCATTTACTGAGTGGCCTGAGGGGTAAGAGGGCCATCTGGGCCATTTGGCCCTGGCAGCAGGAAGGGAAGAAATGAGATGAGATTCCAGTCTATCCTGTTCCTTGAGATAAGTCATCTTCCTGAGAGAAGGATTTCTGGATCACAGTGGCAAACAGATGAATACAAAACTCCTGATTTGTAAAGCTTCCAGAAGGGGCAGGTAGCTCTCAGCACAGAGCGAAGGCACTGAATGTTTAATGTCCCGACAATCAGCAGTGCACGCGGGGCCTGCTGTTTGAAGCAGCCTGAGGACTGTGCTGCTCCATGACCAATGAAAATGCACTGGAGCGCAGTTTCCGCACTGGCCAGCTCGGCGTCAGCTCCGGAGCTGCCCGGGGCAGCCCTGGCAGAAGTTGCAGGCGGCAGAGCTGCAGAGCCACAGCCACGGCCAGCAGAGGGGCAGCCTGCTGCCTACACGGCCACCTGGGTGGGGACAGTGCGCGGGGACAGTGGGGCCTGGAACACAGATCCTTCTGCAGGCTCTGGGTAGAATCTGCCTCCAGGGCGGGCCCGAACTCCAGCAAGGTTGTGTGAGGGTTTGCGCAATGGTAAATTTATAATTTCTATTTTCCATCCTCTCATATTTCTAGAAGACATCTGAGGCAATCGCTATCTATGAAAATTTCATCACTTACTAACAATGTATTGATTTTCAATTATTAATTGCCTCCATGAAAAACTTCTGCAAATCTTCTATAGCAATTTCTCCCAGGCATCTAAAATATGGCCAGATTAAAGGCTTGTTTCTATACTATTAATATTTAATATTCAGAAATATATACATATAAATACATAGATAGGCAATCTCTAGCCGCAGTAATAAACAAACCAAAACTGTCCAGAGTGGCATAAGTCACAAAAGGACAGGCTCCCTGGCTCCTGCGCTGGGACCGAGGGCTGGCTGACTCGCGCAGCATGTCTGGTTCCTTCTAGGAAAGTAGAAATAGCAGCATTTGTTCTCTCCCGGGTAAAGCAACATAAGATATGATTAACACAGTGCTTGGAATTCTTCAGAAGAAAGGTACAATAACATTATCCAGTACTCTACAGTCTTCGAGCTGGTACTTGTAAACCAATGTCTCCGTGTCTGAGCCACCCACACAATTTAGGAGACTAAAACAGCAGTCCTACTCAAGCATTTGAGACAGACATCTATTTAAAGAATTAAACACACACACACACACACACACACACACATCTCTTTTTTAAATTGGTTCTGATGCTGAGTGCAATGCCTCACGCCTATAATCCTAGCACTCTGGTAGGCCAAGGTGGGAGGATAGCTTGAGGTCAGGAGTTCCAGACCAGCCTGAGCAAGAGCGAGATTGCATCTCTACTAAAAATAGAAAAAAATTAGCTGGGTGCCTGTAGTCCCAGCTACTTGGGAGGCTGAGGCAGGAGGATCGCTTGAGCCCAGGAGTTTGAGGTTGCTGTGAGCTAGGCTGATGCTACGGCACTCTAGCCCGGGCAACACAATGAGACTCTGTCTCAAAAAAACATAAAAAAAATTGATTATGAGACTTAAATAAGATAAACTAGCTGTGTTTGTGTGTGTGCCTATGAGACTTTGTGTTGCATATGTGTACGTGTGCAGGTCTGTGAGTGCACGTGCATGTGTATGTGTGCCCTCGTGTGTCAATAGCTCCTTCTCTGTGCAAGAGAGTATGTGTTCATGCATGCATGCGTGTGTTTCTGTGTGTGCACTTTCTTCTCTAGCAGTGATCACTTCCGCTGTAGTTTCTCGACTGGCACCAAGTCCCGCATTGCCCTTCAAGGTGTCTGCTGCAAACCAGATACTCTAACGTGATAAATGGCTCTAGTCCACCGCATTTAGCTTCTGGATGAATCTCTGGTGCTCCTCATTAAATGCAGCGTATTTTGTGACATGCAAGAGTACTCTTTAGTACGGATGGTGACAACTTAGTTCTGCAAAGACACTGGAGTCCAGACCCTCAGCAAGGCTGGCCTCCCCCACGCTCTCTCCTGCAGGTGCAGGGAGCGCCCTGTGTGCAGCGTGCCCGAGCGTCAGCACGGGGCTGGCTGTCCACAGACGCTGCCAGCCCGCCCGCCCGACGGGAGCTCCGCGTCCTGCCCCCAGCGCGTCATGCTGGTGTTGGAGTCATTGACCGCAGGTCCGGGCTGGTGAAAAGCTTCCACCCTGGCCTTCGTCCTCTCTCTACAGACCAGCTGGAAGCGCTAGCCGGGACTCCGGATGAGAATTTTCCATAATTGGGCAGCTGGGGGCAGGGAGCAGTGCAGACTTACATCACTGTCCTGAGAGAAACGCAAGTTGCGCCCCGGACTCTTGTGTTGCTCTGTGACAGGTGTCACAGTGTCACACACATAGATGTCACAGTGTCACACACAGATGTCACATGCGCACAGATGTCACAGTGTCACACACAGATTCACAGTGTCACACACACAGATGTCACACCCACACAGATGTCACAGTGTCACACACAGGTGTCACAGTGTCACACACACAGATGTCACAGTGTCACACACAGAGATGTCACAGTGTCACACACAGATTCACAGTGTCACACACACAGATTCACAGTGTCACACATACAGATGTCACAGTGTCACACACAGGTGTCACAGTGTCACACACACAGATGTCACAGTGTCACACACAGATGTCACAGTGTCACACACAGATGTCACATGCACACAGATGTCACAGTGTCACACACAGATGTCACAGTGTCACACACACACAGATTCACAGTGTCACACACAGATTCACAGTGTCACACACACAGATGTCACAGTGTCACACGCACACAGATTCACAGTGTCACACACACAGATGTCACAGTGTCAGCCCCCATCAAAATCAGGCATGGGCGGTTGGAGGTTTAGCAGAATTTTAACGCAACTGGAAGGGATTTTCTGAGAAGAAAAGTCACGCAAAAGCTGTTCTTTGTAAGGCGCAGCGCTCAAGGGCGAGCCCGGGAAGCTCTCAAGCTTTATAGCTAATGAAGGCATGCCAAATAAGCGTCGCCACCTCTTGGAAGGCAGTTACTTGAAACGCAGACATTGCTCTTGGTTGACTAAACGGCCGCAGCTGACCCTCAGTAACCCAAGGCAATGAAGAGGGAACTGATACAGATTGCAGAACAACACCGCGACTTTGTGTGAATACTTGCTTAAAATAAAAATGTTTTACTAGCCATATTGTAAGGTCTTTAGCCTCAGATATCTAGATAACTGTATTTTATTTCACCTGCTTGTTTGACTGCCGCGTTACAGGCGTAGGGCGCGAGCACGACTGGGCAGGACACCCGGCCCAGGACTCCGCGGCTGGATGCGCGAATCAGTGCACTTTCCTGAGGACTGGGATCCCATTCAGGAAACGGAAACACGGCCCCCAGCACATTTTCAGGGTGAGCCAACGAGACAAGAATGTGAAGAGATTATGTGCAGTGAATATTATTATTAGTCAGGGTTAATATGAATAATTGCATTTTAAACATGATATATTTAAGTCTCACCCACAACTACCAACCATGACAGTAAAAACAAACATGCTAAAGTATCTATCTTGCTAGACGTGAATCAAAAACCAAAACAAAGCCTGCTCTGGGCTCTGAGGCTAACATGCTTTCTCCGGAAGCATCGACATGTCGACAGCAGCCAGCTCCGCCAGTTTGCAGGAGAGGAAGTCAGGCTTGGCGCTCAGTTGACTGAGAGGACACCAGGCCGCCTGTCTGTGCTGGGCACTGCTCAAATGTGCACTTGGATCACAAGGCACAAGTCTTGAAAACTGTCTCCCTGCTTAAAATGCAGTTTCCAAAACAGCCCACACACTACGACATAACTGCTTTCCCAGCAATGCGTGTCTCCCTCGTGAAGGTCCGGCATGACACACGTCTGGGCAGCTCTCGGCCAGTGTGATTCGAGAGAGAGGGTTGCTCTACTCAACTCATTCACAATCTTGTTATGTGTAGAAATTCGACAGCTGATCCATTGGCATTAACAATTGATGCATCTTAGCAACTTCGTTCTTTTCATAGGCTTTGCAGACTGTTCGAGTGGCTGGGCCTTACAAAGTTATGTACGGCCGTGTCCTCATTTTACAGATGGTTCAACCAGGGCCTGAGGGGCAGGTGAGGCCACAGAACCTGAGGGCTAAGAAGGACCCGGAATCCATTCACCAACTTTCAGCCTAGGACTCCGTCTGCGGCCCAGCATTCGAAGAGCCTCTGATTCGGTGCAGTCAGTGCAATTAATGCAAGGTCAGTATTTGAATTTTAAAAAGAGACAAAAGAAAACAGCAACAAGAAAAACATGGAAGCCCTAAGCCCTGCAAACTCAGAGAGGAAGTGGCAGGCATGGCAGACAGGTGCAGGGTTATCGTGCAAGCTCTGCAGTTGGAGGAGGACAGAGCAGACAGGACTGCTGTCGACGCGCAGGCGCTGCACGTCCCCAGCACTGGAAGGGGCCGGTGTGGAGAGCTGGGCGCCTGCTGCTGGGCTGGTGAGCTCCTCGTGTCCCCTGCCAGGGGACTGCAGGAGAAGGTGGCAGCTGTGCTTACTGCCGCACAGGGCTGCACGGGCCAGCAACTTGGGCCTCTTCCCTACGCAGCCTGCAGGTAACATGATGACACCAGCAGCCCACTGAGGAAAATAACGTTTCAAATCTGGGTCCAAATAAGCAACCCTCAGTTGGCCCTGAGGGAGGGCCTTCCCGATGGAGAAATGCAACATGGTGTCCGGCAACCCAGCAGAGACGTGCTGTGACCAGCAGTCTGATGTCACAGGAGAGGAGCTGGGTCTGCCAACCCAGCAGAGACGTGCTGTGACCAGCAGTCTGATGTCACAGGCGAGGAGCTGGGTCTGCCAACCCAGCAGAGACGTGCTGTGACCAGCAGTCTGATGTCACAGGCGAGGAGCTGGGTCTGCCAACCCAGCAGAGACGTGCTGTGACCAGCAGTCTGATGTTACAGGCGAGGAGCTGGGTCTGCCAAAGCAGAAGGTGCCTGCAGTGCATGGGCCCAGTCATGTGCCACGAGGAAGTCACTCGGCGTGTCCGGCTCCCCTCGCTCCCTCGCTCTGCAGGCCTTGGTGGCGCCCCTTGCAGTTTCGTGGGTGATGAGTTAGCAGATTTCTTTGTATGAGTTTGTTTTTTTGTTTTTGTTTTTGGATGGGAAAACCTTTCTTTACTCTTCTGACCAAAAAAGAACTGGGTTTCTATCTATCAAAGGGTGTATTCCTGTAATGCTAAGACTTGATTAAATTATAAATCCCAGATTATTTCTAATCTAGTAATGTTGGCTGACTCCCTATAAGCACGTGGGGTAAGTCCCCAGGAAGCCACCTCCCAGGCAGAGAACAGCTCCCCGTCAGCCCGCGTCCCTGGAGTCAGCCTTCCGCACGCCAAGTCCTCCTGAAGCCGGCCGTCCCCGAGCAGAGCAGCGGGACTCTGCACGCGGTGGCGGGAAGGCGGGCAGTGCCGGGCCGCAGCGAGGGCAAATCAGGCCTCACGTGGGGCAGTGTGTACAGGGCGGGGCGGGCGGGGAGATGGCCTCGGGAACCCCAAACAAACTTGCGGCCTGAACCACACAAACACTGGCCTGCGTGGTAGGAAGAAGGAGATGTCTATCTCCTGTGAACCCAGGCAGACAGCCGAGCCCTCCATGCTCTGTGCGGGTGAGCACCGGCCCAGCAGGTGCCGATTGGCGCGTTGTGGCATTCCTCTGTGGTTCAGCCCACCACAACAAACCAAGAGCTTCACCATGGTAGGGTGTGGGTGGCCGGAGGGGAGCCCGTCACCTGGAAGGGGAAGAAAGTGTAGCGTGGACTCCTTCTCACTCCAGAGGAGAGTCACTGGGTTCACTCCCTAACATGGTTTTCATTGTTATTAAAATAATAATAATAATAAACATAAAATTAAAAATAAAGCCCACAGCACAGCAGCCATTGCCACAGCATTGCGTAGTGGTGCAATGCTAGCAAGCAAGCGCTATTTACCCTCTGACTCTTCCATTCTACGCACATTTCACAAGTATTTGCTGAGTGTCATGGATACACAGATGAAAAGATGCAATTGCCTTCCCTCGAGGAACATGCAGTCTAACAAGGAGAAGGACACGTAAACAGGTATTTCAACACAGCATCGATGTGTTATAATAAATACGAAGACAAAGCGGTGAGAACGTGGGCAGGGTTCTCAGGGAGGGCTGGACGGGGGGTGAGAGGGAACATGGTCTTGGGGAGGGACAGGAGGTTCCAGGAGTGGCAATGTTGGAAGAATTCCATGCCATGGAATAGCTCACATGGTGGCTCAGGGGAACCACAGGCCTGGTGTGTTTGGGAACCGGGACATAGAGTGTCTGGCAGGTGGGGAAGGTGCAGCAAACAAGTGGGAATGAGGCAGATAGTGGGGGACGTACATCAGCACCTTGAGCAGGGCGTGCCCTTACCATGCAAGCTGGGGTCCTCTGGTTGAGGGGTGCAGAGACCCGACACAGCAGCGTGAGGGTGGAATGCCCAAAGGGAGCTTTTCCAAGCAAGAGGACAAAGGTTCAAACCAGAGGCCTCATGTTATGCAAAGCAGCCCTTTTAAGACAGAAATAGAACATGAGACACATCTGTAATTATAAAGTTTCTAGAGGTTACATTTTAATAAAAGTAAAAAGAAGCAGGTGGAATTAATTTTTATAATAAAAATGATTTTACTTACTATAGCCAAAATATTGTCATTTCAACATGCAATCAAAAAAGTATTAATAAGTTATTTTTCATTATTTTTCCCATTCTAAATCTTCAAAGCAAAGTATGTATTTGCACATACCGCGTATCTCAGCTCGACTCAGCTACACGAGAAGTCCCCAGTGGTGGCCAGTGGCTGGTGGCTGTGAGCGCGGCACAGGTCTGGTCTGGGGGCGCCAGTATGTGGCAGAGACACACATTCTTCCTTCCAGCCACAATTGGAGTGAATGCCATGCTTGCCGATGTTTCTTTTCCAAAAGGTAGATAGCATGAAACAGTTTCCACTGCCAAAAAACATACAGTCATCCAAGATTTCAACTGCAAGCCACAGGACTAGGTTGGTGGGAAAAATTATCTCACAATAAACATGCAGTGCGTAATTTTCTTTGATTTCCAAAGCTCTAAGGGGAGAGGGTGGCATAGCATAGAATGATTTGCATTTTAATAAACATGGCCTCTTGCAAAACAATTCTCAACATTCTTGATGAGTGCCTCCCAATAACAATAATTACCATCAGAAGTGCCATGCCAGCACTCACTAATGACTGCCCTAGGAGGCAGGTCCTGTTTTGGTTGACTTAAGACAAAGCTATTAAGTAACTGCATGAGGCCATACAGGGAGTTGGGTTTATGCAACTTGTTTCCCAGAAGGAAAGCACTTTACTTCCCTCTTTTCAGGCCACCAAGAGGACTGGGGTCAGGAGCAGGCCTGCAGCACAGGAATGTGCAGATGAGTTTTCAGAACTGAGGCCTGCAGGAGGGGTTGCAGCCAGTGGGGACTTCTGTAGCCCCAGTAGGTTGTGAGTTTTGCCATGTTGCCCCAGCCCATGATGAGTGCTTCACTCCACCCAGCCAAGAACACATGGTCAAAGATTTGGCCACATCCAGGGGTCTGTTGGGTCCTAAATGCTTTCTAGAGCTTGATCTCAAGGCTCTCACACAGGCTGGCACCTGGCTTGCAGAGTTCCCATCCCAAGCACTCCTTTCCAGTTCTCAGTTTTGACAACAGCGCAGCGGTGTTCGCAAGCACATGCCGCCGTGGCCTCGCAGCAACTCCAGAAATAACGCTGGGGAGAGACGCTCGTTCACTCTGAGCCACCATGTGCCAGCGCGGAACCAAATGCTTTGTGGGAACGAGCTCAGCACATCTTGAGGACAATGCCATGAAGTGGGCATTGCCATTACCGCACCGTGCAGATGGGGGAACCAGGGGGCTGGTGGAACCTGCTGTGGTAGCTCAGGAACACCTGGGAAACCAGGGGATTCCAGGGCCAGACTTTAAGTTACTAGAAGATACGGCCTCGTTCATGCAGCTATGGTTAATTTCTTGTCTTGTGTGGCTATGAGGACACACTATGGTAGGTAGGATTCTAAAGTGACTCCCAAGATTCCCACCCCCTCGCGCGCATGCCCTGCGTAATCCCCTCCGGGGAGTGAGGCAGACCTGGGAATAAGACAGAGCTTCACTCCTGTGATTCAATCACCCATCAGATGATTTTGAGTTAGTCAAATGGATATTATGCAGGCAGGACCGGCCTGCTCAGGTAAGAGCTTTAAAAGGACTGGGCCCTTCTGAGGGAAGGGAGATCCTAAATGTGAGAGAAGCAGTGCATGTGGCTCAGGGGCCAGGAGCTGTAGGCACCTGTAGGAGCTGAGAGCAGCCCTTCACCTGCAGCCAGCAGAAGAATGAAAACATCAGGTCTACAACTGCCAGGAACTGGATTCTGCCAATAGTCAGAGTACAAAAGAGCACCCTGAGCTCCAGAAAGGAGCCAGGCCAGCTGATGTCCTAACTGCAACCTCTGGAGACCTCAATCGAGGATCCAGCCTGGATGCCTGACCCTTGCAAACTGTGAGATAATAAATGTCTGTCGTCTTAAGCCACTAAGTCTATGGTAATTTTTTATTCAGCAAAAGAAAGCTAATGCACATCCCTCTTCATCTGAAGGTTGGACTTACCTAAATATATGTAAAAGCAGTATTAGAAATGCCTTTCTCTAATCGCCAGCTTCATCTCTGCAGGCCCTTTCTCATTACCAATATTATTGCTTATTAAATAATTAACAAACTTTATTTTTAGGTTCACAAAAATATTGAGTTAAAGGAACAGAGAGATCCCATTTGCCCCCAGCCCTCACGCATGCATGACCTCTCCCATCACCAACTTCCTGCGCCAGGACGGTCCAGATGTTACAACCGACAAACACACATTGACACGTCCTTACCACCCAGAGTCCATAATTTACACTGGGGCTCACTTCTGCTGTTGGACACTCTGTGGGTTTGCATAAGTGTGTAACAATGCGTGTCCAGCTTTGGAGGATCACAGAGTAATTTCACTGCCCTAAACATCCTCTGCTCCCCACCTATTCTTCCCTTCCTCCCCAATCCCCTGGCAACCACTGATCTGTTATCTGTTCACTTATCTTCATACTTTTCCTTTTCCAGCATGTCATATCATAGAAATTACATAGTATAGCCTTTTTAGCCTGGCTTTTTTCACTTAGTAATATAATTTAAGGCTCCCATGTATTCTCATGGCTTGATGGTTCATTTCCTTCTAGTGCAGAATAACATTTGTGTCCTTCCAAAATTCATATGCTGAAATCCTAATCCCTGATGTGATGGTATGAATGTACCACATTTTATCTATTCACTTACTGAAGGACATCTTGGTTGCTTCCAAGTTTTGGCAATTATGAATATAGCTACTATAAATATCCATGTGTAGGTTTTAGTGGGCATAGTTTTCAAATCCTTTGGATAAATACCAAGGAGTGTGATAAGAGTATGTTTAGTTTTGTAAGAAACCACTAAAGTGTATTCCAAAGTGGCTGTACCATTTTGCATTCCCACTAGCCATGAAAGAGAGTTCCTATTGTTTCATGTCCTCACCGGAATTTAGTGTTATCAGTGTTCCAAGATTTGGTCATTCTAATAGATATGTAGTGGTATCACATTGTTGTCTTAATTTGAAATTCCCTTATGATATATGATGTGGAGTATCTTTTCATATGCTTGTTTGTCATCTGTATATCTTCTTCAGTAAGGTTTCTGTTAAAGTCTTTTACCCATTTTTTAATCTAGTTGTTTGTATTCTTATTGTTTAGAATTAAGAACTCTTTGTGTATTTTTGATAAGTCTTTTATCAGATGTGTCTTTTGCAAATATTTTCTCCCAGTCTGTGGCTTGTCTTCTCATTCTCTTGACATTGTTTTTTGCAGAGCAAAAGTGTTTCATTTTAATGAATTCCACTTGTCAATTATTTCTGTCATGGATTATACCTTTGATGTTATATCTAAAATGTCATCACCATGCTCAAAGTAATCTAGGTTTTCTTCAATGTTATCTTCTAGGAGTTTTATGTTTTCCATTTTAGATTTACATCTATTATCCATTCAGTTAATTTTTTCTGCAGGGTGCAATATCTGTCTAAATCCATTTTTTCGCTTGGGGATGTCCAGTTGTTTCAGCACCATTTGTCATTCTCCATTGTAGTGCCTTTGCTGTTAGTCAGAGCTTGTTTGACTGTATTTACATGGCCTATTTCTGAGCTCTCTGTTCTTTTCCTTTGATCTACTCATCTGTCCTTACACCAATATTCCACTGTCTCGGTTACTGTATACTATGGACTGAGTATTTGTGTCCTTCCAAAATTCATATGCTGAAATCCTAATCCCTGATGTGATGGTATTTGGAGATGTGTTCTTTGGAAAGTAATTAAATCATAGAGTGGGAATCTTATTGTGGCTTAGTGCTTTTATAAAAAGAGACATGGCTGGTGTGGTAGCTGTACTTTGGGAGTACAGTACTTTCGGAGGCTGTAATCCCAGTACTTTGGGAGGCTGAGGCAGGAGGATCACTTGAGCCCAGGGGTTTGAGACTAGCCTGGGCAACATAGCAAGACCTTATCTCTATAAAAAAGAAAAGAAAAGAGAAAAGAAAAAAAAAGAAAAGAGAAAATTAAAGAAAAGAAAAAAGAAAAGAGAAGAGAAGAGAGAAGAGAAGAGAAGAGAAGAGAAAGGAAAGGAAAGGAAAAGAAAAGAAAGAAAAGAAAAGAAAAGAAAAGAAAAGAAAAGAAAAGAAAAGAAAAGAAAAGAAAAGAAAAGAAAAGAAAAGAAAAGAAAAGAAAAGAAAATTAGCTGGACATGGTGATGCATGCCTACAGTCCTAGCTACTTGGGAGGCTGAGGCGGGAGGATTTCTTGAGCCCAGGAGATCGAGGTTTCAGTTACAGTGAGCTATGATTGCACCACTGCACTCCAGCCTGGGTAACAGAGCAAGACCTTGCCTCTAAATAAATTTTCAAAAGTAAGAAAGAAAAGACGCAAGACAGCTTGGTTTTTTTTGTTTGTTTTTTTGTTTCTTTGTTTGTTTGTTTGTTTGTTTCTGTCTCTCTCTCTCTTCTCTCCAATATGAGAGGATACAACAAGGAGATGGCTGACCAGGAACAGGATCCTTATCAAGAACCTGACCATGCTGGACTTCTAGCCTCCAGAACTATGAGAAATAAATGTTTGTTGTTTAAGCCATCCAGTCTACAGTATTTTGTTGTAGCGGCCTGAATTAAAATAATGAAGCTTTGTAGTAAGTCTTAAAATTAGGTAGTGTCAATCCTCTAAATTTGGTCTTCTCCTTCAATATTGGGTTGACTATTTTAGGTTTTGTTCGCTTCTCCATATAAACTTTAGAATGAATTTATTGATATTCACAAAATAACTTTCTGGGATTTTGATTGAGATTGCATTAAATCTATAGATCAAGCTGGGAAGAATTGACATCTCAACAAAATTGAGTCTTACTATACATGAATACAGAATATTTCTGTTTTTATTGACAATAGTTTTTCTTTGATACCATTCATCAGAATTTTTGTAGTTTAGGTTCCTCATATAGATTTTGTGTGTATTTTGTTAGATTTATATCTAAGTATTTAACTTTTGGGGGAGTGCTAATGAAATGGTAACTTGTTTTCGATTTCAAATTCCACTTGTTCATTTCTGATGTAAGGAAAGCAATTGACCTCCATATATTAACCTTGTATACAGAAACCTTGCTATATCTATTTATTAGTTCCACAAGGGTTTTTGTTGATTCTTTTAGATTTTCTACATAGATGCTTTTGCTCTCTGTGAACAAAGACAGTTTTATGTCTTCCTTCCTAATCTGTGTACTTTTCGTTTCCTTTTTTGTCTTATTGCATTAGCTGGGACTTTCAGTACAATACTGAAAAACAGTGGTGAGAGAGGAACTTTTGTTCCTGATCTCAGCAGGAAAGCTTTGAGTTTATCACCATTAGGTTTGGTGGTAGTTGTAGGGTTTTTGTAGATGTTATTTAGCAAGTTGAGGAAGTTACCCTCAATTTTCTGTTTGCTGAGACTTTTTTTATTCCAGAATATTATGGCTGTACAAATGATTTGGTTACATATATTGCCTTTGCACAGCCCAACCCCCAGACATCGCACACCGTACCCATTAGGTATGAATCTACCCATCCTCTCTGCCCTCTCCCACCTGCCCAATGCCCTGGAGAGTTTTTTAATCGTAAATGAGTGTTAGATTTTGTCAAATGCTTATTCCACATCTATTGATATGATCATGTGATTTTTATACGTAGCCTGTTTGTGTGATGGATTACAGTAATTGATTTGTGAATGTTGAACAAGCCTTGCATATCTGAGAGAAATCCCACTTGTTCCTGGTATATGGTTATTTTCAGTTGAATTTATAGCTATCATATTTATTATAGTTTTCTATTTCTTGGCCTTTTCTTTGTTCCTATTTTTGTCTTCCACAGTTTTTCTGCCTTTTGTGGCTTTAAATGAGCATTTTCTGTGATTCCATTTTCTCTTCTTTCTTAACATATTGACTATACTTATTTTTTTAAACTTTTTTAGTGGTTGTTTTAGTTATAATAGACATTTAAAACTAATATGAAACTAATTTCAAATTACACTATACTACTTCAAAGTTAATATAGGTATCTTATAATAAGAAAATATTACTAATTCTTCCCGCTAACCCCTTGTTTCATTGCTGTCATTCATTTTACTTTCACATAGCATAGATAGATAGATAAATGCAGAATCAAATGCAATGTTGGTGTTACTATTTTGAACAATTCATTATCTGTTAGACAAATTAAAAATAAGAGAAATAAAATGTTTTATTTTACCTTTACTTATTCCTTCTCCAATGATCTTACTTTCTTTATGTAGATCCTAGTTTCTGACCTATAAAATTTTTTCTGTCTAAAGAACTCCTTTTAACATTTCTTACCATATAATTCTACAGACATCAGATTTCCTCACTTTTTGCACGTCTGAAAAAGGCTTTATTTCACTTTCTCTTTGGAAGGATACTTTACTGGGTACAGAATTCTATGTTGATAGGTTTTTTTCTCTCAAATCTTTCAATATTTCACTTCACTCTATTCTTGCTAGCATGGGTTTTAGAATAAGTCATAGGTAATTTTTATCTTTGCTCCTCTAATTTGCCTCCCCAACTTTTTTTGAGATTTTTTTTTTAATTTCGATTTTCTGAAGTTTGAATATCATATTCTTAGGTGTAGGTTTTTTGGCATTTATCCTGCTTAGTGTTCTCTGAGTTTTCTGGATCTGTGATTTTGTATTTGACATTAATTTGGGGAATTTCTCAGTCATTATAGCTTTAAATATTGTTTCCATTTTATTTTCACTTTATTCTCCTTCTAGTATTTCCATTACTTATATGTTCTATGTTTTGTAGTTGGCACATTTCTTGCATATTCTCTTTTATTGGGGTTTTTTGTAGTCTTTTTATTGTTTGCTTTTCAGTTTTGAAAGTTTATACCATCAAATCCTCAAGCTCAGATATTTTTTCCTCAGCCATGTCCAGTGTGCTAATGAGCCCATCAAAGACATTCTTCATTTCTGTTAGTGTTTTTGATCTCTAGCATTTCATTTTGATTCTTTCTTAGAATTTCTTTCTTTCTGCTTACAGTGTCCATCTGTTCTGAATGCTGTCTACTTTTTCTATTAGAGCCTGTAGCATATTAATCATAGTTGTTTATTTATTTATTTATTTATGTAATTTCTGATCTGATCGTTCCAATATCCCTGCCATATCTGACTCTGGTTCTGATGTTTGTTCAGTCTCTCCAAACTGTTTGTATTGCCTTTTAGTATGCTTTGTAATTTTTTGTTGCAAGGCAGACATGATGTATGGGTAAAATAAACTGCTGTAATCTGGCCACTAGTGCTATGGGAGAAGGTATGGGTATGGGGAGACCTTCTATAATCCTATGATCAGGTCTCAGTCTTCTAGTGAGCCTATGCTTCAGGCTGTGAACTTCACCAGCTCTCTGTCCCCTCCCTTAGGTGGAATAAAATAGCTAAAGGGAACTGGAGTCAAGTATCTCCCTTCCCCCAGGTCATCAGGCTCTAATGACACCCAGACAGGCTAGCTCTGGCTAAGCAGTTTCTCCTGAGGGCAGGATTTGTTTAGGATAACAGAATGCTCTAGTGTTTTCTCAGAATTGTTCCTTTTTCTCCTTCTAGCAGGAAGAGGGATTTTTTCTTCCCAATATTTACCGTGAGAACCTGGTTCAGCTCTCAGACAAAAAACTCACAGAAGTGTGAGGGCCCCCTAATGACTGGTGCCCCCGGAGTTTTTAACTCTCAGACTTGTCTACAGTGGACCTCCAGAAACGCATCCTCCACAGCTCAGGTTTCCCCACCCAGCACTGGCTCCGTGGAGGCCACACTCGTGAGTGTCCGCGCCAGGGAGCTGAGCTTCTCTGTGTCCGCCTGTCTGCCTCACAGTCTCGGAGGCAGCAGTTTGCGTCCTGGTCCTCACTCCACAGTCTCTTATCAGGGCTGGCATGACAGCCTCCAGCCACGCTCCCCAAATGTGCTTACCTTCCCTACACGCGTGTCTGACAGGGCCCTGGCCCTGCCCTTCCCTCAAAGGCCATCAGTGGTGCCCCTTGCTTCTCAACTACGTCCAGATTTCTCAGTGGAAGAAATAAGGTCCCTCGAGACGTGGCTTCTGCCTGTATCTGCAGCCCTCCTCTTCCTCCATGGCCAAGCTGGACACTGGCTCCTCAAGGAGAACCCCTGCCACGGCGCTTCCGCGACATTCCGCGTTCCGGGCGCGTCCCTAGGTCTGCTGTGCCTCATGCCCGGAATGCCCTGGGCCCTCCCCGGCCCGCACGCCAGCTCCCGAGGCCGAGTCCCACAGGCTCCCAGGAGAGCCCTGGGGCGCTCCCCGCCCCTACTCGCGCGGGGCCTGCCCGGTGGCGTCTGTCTGTCCGTGTCCTGCGCGGGCACAGACCCTCGCAGCGTCACAGGGCACGAGTCCAACCGAGATTCTCCAATGAGACAGTGAGCTCGATGAGGACAGAAAACATGGCCTTTCCCCTTCGCGTTTCTGAAGCCTGACACAACACTGACTCCTAAGTTAGATTGGCTGGATAAAGGATGGAAACAGACAAGAAAAGAGGAACGGAGGAAGGGAGGGGCACAGGTTTACCAGGAAAAGTGGTGGGTGGTGTGAGGATGGTGGGAAGATGGCTATTTTGAACCTAATGTTACCATTGAAAAATTTCTAATGTCCCTAAGAATGGATTTTTGCTGTCATTCTTCTTTTGTGTGTTTTCTAGACCTCATGTTTGAGGCCTGTCTAGGTGAACAGCGAGGAAGGAAAAGGCGGCAGTGCAATTGCTGGTCGATCTGACAAACAGATCAGTCAGTTCCTGGACGGGAACGTGGATCCTGCCTTACTTTAAAGCCACTCCTGAAATGAGGCGGCGGTCCCTGCACCAGTTTCTTCCGAAGGATCATATCCTCATGCAGACCGTGTTCAGAAAAGAGAAGGGAAGTGGTGCCTCGTGCTCAGAGATAAGGGGCTCCCTCTCGCAAGCGCAGTCTGCTTTGAAGGTCCGGCCACGCTGGGGCGATTCTCGGCGGGCCCTGTTTACGGGGAGCGCGGCCCCTCGTGGCGGAGCTGACATCTGGCGCAGAGACGTGGCTCCTACAGCCAGGGGCACGGAAAGAGCGGGCCTGGGGGTGGGCTACGCCAGGCCCTGGACCGTGTCCGTCTGCGGCCACGGTGTGGGGGTGCAACTCCCACAGGGAGGCTGGCCGCGCTCCTGACTTCTTGTCTGAAATGGAAAGGAGGCCTTGCGTTCGGGACGCTGCGGTGTGAGGGCTGTGTGCTGCCTTCTGAGAGGACCCTTTTCTTGGCAGTTGGCACGGTTGTCTTGGGCACCTTTATGGGCAAAATACTCCTGGGCCCAGAACGGAAGCTCTGTCTTCCTCCTCAGCCGTTAGGCCCACAGACACACATCCAACCGGAGCAGGAAACCGCTGACACGAGCTGAAATAGGACACTGAGGACGGAGAAAATGAGGGACTTGAGAAGAAAGAGGCTGCCCACCCTTGGTGGGGCTGCCACATGGCAGGGCCATGGCAGGGCCACCCAAATCTGCACCCTGCTGATGGGGCAGTGGGCCGGCATCCACCTCCTGCCTGCATCTGTTGGGCCGCAGAAATGTACAGCCCGTGTGGGGGAGAGACGACCGCCCAAAAAGACTCAGAGTCCAGAGACTTGATGCAAGAGCAAGAGGATTTATTTCCAGCGCAGCGCAGGGGCGAGCAGCACCACCGAGCTAGGGAAGCTGCCGTGCCGACATTTTTTTTTCTTAGGATTTTATAGGCAGAAACCACACGCAGGTGGCTAGGGATCACAGGGTGGGGGGAAATTTTATGGGCTTTGACCTTGCACAAACATGTACCAGATGGGCTAATATCGGGAACTTTTAATCTTGTTCAATAAATTTCAAGGACTAACAGCAAGCGGTTTTCGGGAAGTTACAGAGTGGCGCCAGCGGGGGAAGGGAGTAGGGTTGAGTGAGCGGAGTTTACAGAAGCAGAACGGCGGGTTAGATTTTTCTCCACACATCTTGGATCTTGCTCCCGGACCCCCGTTTCTGTCCGGGCGCCTGTCCCCTGGCCCATGTGGCCGTGTCTTGCTCCCAGCTACCACTCGACTCCCCACTGGGATGGAAGCAGGTAGTGAATCAAGGCATCATCTACTCAAGGCAGACTCTTCTAGAACCTTCTGAACTCTAATGAGTGAAGTGGTTTAGAAGAGGAGAGAAATCACTAGGAGCGGCGCTCTAGACTGGACTTTCTTCATCCTGTCCCCACAACGCCGTGGCATACACGGCCACTCATGGCGACTGACTGCCGCCACAGCCTTGCTCCAAGGAGGCTGTGGAGAGACACGTAAACCCAGAGGGACCTGTTACCCAAAGGACTGTCAAATGCCCCTAAGTGCTGGAGTGACACAGAATACAACCTGTCAGATTCATGTGGCTCCAAAGAGAAATGAGACATGCGAAACGAGGCCGCAGCCAGGCCTCTGCCACGGCTTCCGTGGAGCAGGCGAGCCGCCTGTCTGGGCGCAGCACGGCACGCTGTCCTCGCGGTCAGGCGCGAGGCTCCCTGCCGATCGTGGACCAGGGCTCGCCAAGAACAGGAAGGGAAACTACCCGGCACAGTAGGAGAAACGGATGAAGGTTAGAGGCTATTGGCAGTGCCAGGCACACAGCAAGTCATCGCTGATGGCAAATCCACTGTCAGAACTATCGCAGCTAGATCAGTGCTGCAGGTGCCGGACAGAGAGGAGCTTGTTCACACAATGTGGCAACGGGCCCGCTGCCTTAACAGAACACCGCAGGCCGGTGGCCGAAACAACAGATATTTATTTCTCACAGTTCTGGAGGCTAAAAGCCAAGATCAAGGTGCCAGCAAGGTAGGCGTCATTCTGAGGACTCTGCCCCTGGCTTGTAGGTGGCCAGCCTCTCCCTGTGTGCTCACGTGACCTTTTCCTTTTGTGTGCGGGGGAAGGGAAGCTCTCCAGTTTCTCTGGGACACTAATGCTATTGTATCAGGACCCCACCCTAACCTTGGTTACTTCTATAAAGGACCTGTATCCAAATGTAGTCACACTGGAGCTCAGAGCTCCCACACGAGAATCTGTGGGGACACGATGTTCCGTTCATAACAGGCAGGCACAGTCCAGCACTGCCACTCAGAAGGTATCTGATGCTGGGCCTCTTGTCCCTATGGTGACACCTAATCTGCAATTCACCCCTAGGATTCAAAGCCAACTAGGCAGGCTTCCTTAAAGATCTGCCTTGGTCAGTAAAATCTTAGGATAGGATTTTGTGAAGACTGTCAATTGGACTTTGATTGCAGAACCATCTTTGAAATTCGCAACAGGTAGTAAAACAGGTGGCGGAACACATTTAAATGAGATCAGGGCTTCCCTTTAGAAATCGAAGTCCTGCATGTGGTTGGAGGAGATGATTATTGTCTGGTCTTGCTCTACCTATAGAAGCTCGTGCCGGAGGACGAGAAAGGCTGCAGGGCAGTGGGGTGTCTGCACGTCCCAGCACAGAGCCTCGCTGACCCTCAGCTGCTTGTCATCAAACTGCCGTGTCCCCCGCTGGCTCCCTGTGACTGAGAAATTCCCCAGGCAAGGCAAGGCTGAAGCCTAAGAATATCTTCAATCCTCATGACAACCTGCTTGAAAATATCCCGTTCTTGCTTCCTGGCTAATTCTATTGCTATATTTGTTGGAGAGTGCATGCCCTGAGAGAGGCATTCTGAACGTTGCTTGTCTGCACGTACGAACTCTACTGGCACATGGAAAGCTTAAGTGTGTAACTGTCCTCTGCGTACCAGCCACTGTGCGTGCCATGCACATGGGGAAGGAAGCCGCTTGCTCGATTTCTATCCTGACAGGGTCCCTGGCTGTAGGTTTGCATCAGCATTAGCTCCCCGCAGGGCAGGAGCTGGCAGCACGTGGCACACGGAGACTCGACATGGGTGCTTGATAGAAGAGAAGCAGGACCATTTAGACACTACTCAAAATAACATCCTGGGACGAGCTCTGAGAAGGACATGTCATGCACCCTACAGCACAGTGCCTCGGCAGGTCATGAGGCGTGAGCACCGATCACGCAGGCTTGCGTGTTCTTAGGGGCTATTTCCATGATGTGGTTAGGGGTTCGATGGGCAGTTTCAGTAGGAAACTGGATGTCTTCATCTTCCAAGGCATTCCTGTTTCCAGATCACTGTGGACCTGGCTCTGGTTGCATGGGCCAGCCAAGGCGGTCTGCTCTGTCGTGGTCCTGGCGTCTCTCATAAAATCCCGACGCTGGGCGGCACCTCCTAACCCACCCACCTAAACCATTAAAACCTGCAAAAACTCACAAAAACACAAAAAGGAACAGAAAATATCAGAAGGCAATCAAATTAATCAAACCTCCAGAAAACCGTATGTAATATAACTCAGTTTTGAGTTGAACTTAAATACTGTCCACAGTTAATCATGCATTTGTATCATTTGGGTCTATGCGTTAAATAAACTCATTATCCCCAGACCTTTGAGAATTTTAAAAGTAACCTATTGTTGATTTTCTTAGGTACTCACCAGATTAGCATGGATATTCCTAACTGAGCATGCTGACAAGAAACAAAAACAGGGCAAAGCTAAAATAGAGGCTCTGGAAAACACCCAGGGCAGCATGTGCTGCTGGCATACAGAGCTCCGTTTTCGGAGGTTAATAAAACCACGTCGACAGAAGTCCTGATGCCTGGAATGGCTCAGGCCCATTTCTCTTTCCCTTGTAGAAAACACCAGTGGGCACACGATGCAACCAACAGTCTTTCGATTCTAATTCCTGACTTAGAAACAAACCCCTAGAGTAGAAAACTTGTTGTGTTACAAGAAGTACTTGGCGTGCTCCCACAGCCCTGGAATGCTCGTGTGAGAGCCAGGGTGCCAGGCGCTGCAGTGCTGTCTGAACAGCCTGCACCGCCCACCCGCAAACAGGACGGAAACAGCCTTCGTCACGAGGGGGCTCTGAGGTCAGGGGGCAGCTCCTCTGTGCCTGTTTGTGCAATGCGGAGGGCGGGTGCAAAGCTGTTTATCCTTGTTGTCCAGCAGGACCTGAGGGATTGGACCACACGTTCTCATCTTTTATTTTTCTGATGCTCCTGTTACATCCTTTGAACTAGAGTCCCTGGGTACACATGGCGGG